TCTGAAGTTCTTGAATATCTTCTTCAGTAAAAGATTTACCATCTTTGCAATATTAATCTTTTTTCTATACACAAGAAAACATGCAAGCTTTGTAAATTAATTTATGATAATCAGAACTATATCATATAGATTTCTCTCCTCTCTACTCAGAAAAAGATCTGTTATAAAGTTCATGAATATTAAATACCAGAGATGACTAGATATTAGCAATGAAGTGAGCAGCTCATATAGTTTGTGTATTAAAGTCTTCTCTTATTAGCAGATTTAGTATTTATGTATGTATGTCTGAATGTCTTGTCTTATTAAGTATTATTTGTATTTTTACTAAAGCAAAACAAACATCTTCACTATATCAAAGTAATCAACAAATAAATTTAATGAACTTGTAGTAGTTTCTGTCTAAGAGCTAAATTACTGGAAATATAGATCCTGCTGCTCTTTATCAAAAAATCTTGTTTGTCTATCTTCTACTCTGACTGCTGGAATTCTATCTTAGTAAATCTTGCTTGTACAGAGAGATTATTTCTCTATACTTCTAGCAACAGATTCAACATGCTTACAGTTAATTTATTATAGATCTTTTTGTCTTTTATTGCTGTATTTATATACATACAGAGAATTCAGAATCTTCTGTAATTCTTTTATTAAGTCTTTCTAGCATCTCTGGCCGGTGCTTCTTGAACTAACTTAACTATTGTCTTGATGCCATCAGGTCTTCTCTGCATCATCTCTACTCTGCTATTTTGAACAGTGTAAGCAGTATGTTCTTAAATACCTTCTTTATTAAAGAAAGTTTCTTTGAATAGGCCTCACTTTAAAACATCATCTGTATTATATCATCTTTAAATATCTTCTTTATTAAAGAAAGTTTCTTCAAATAGATTTTGCTCTGAAACATCACTTGCATCATATTATTTAAGTATCTACATCAGCAGACTGATGTTCTCTTCTAGTTTAACATAGTTCAGTCTTCATGATAATATGTTAGCTGAATTATGCTTCTCAGAGCAGTAGAGAATCTCAATCTATCTTACATGTTATTGTTGTACTATCTTGTTTGTAAACTTCTTAAACAAATAAAAATTTGTGTGGTCTATAATAATCTTTACAGAATACTTTATTTCTTTTAAGTACTGCCATCAATAAACAAATACTCAGATAATAATCAACATCTTCTTATCCAGCATGCTATAGATGTGTTAAGTCTGGTCAAACTTGAATAACTAGTAGACAACTAGATGCCATTCATCTTCAAACAGCTGTAGCAATATTATATGTGCAGCATGTTCTGAAGTATTCATCTTCAGATGTATTCTACATTCTGAATTATAGTGCTGAATAAGAGACTCTCTGAAGAAGATTATCTGCAACTTGTGAAACACTTTTCTGACAGTAAATATCAGAAGAAAAGTTTTTTTTTTTTTTTATTTTTACTGCTCTTTAAGAGATCTGTCAACAGCATTACAATAATCAAGTACTTATATATGAATCTTTTATAGAAGTTCACAAAACCCAGAAATATCTGAATATTATAAAAGCTTCATGGTAAAGACTACTTTATAATTATCTGTACCCACTTTGGATTCATTTTAATATCTTTGATATTAATAATATATTCAAGATATAAGATTATTTATCTTTTGAAAGTGCACTTAGCAATCTTTACAAATAACTGATATTCTCTTAGATACTTTATAACTAATCTAACATGTTTCTCATGCTTCTTCTCTGAGACTAAGAAGATAAGAATATTATCTAGATAAACTATACAGTATATATTAATCAGGCTTGCCAGTGCTCTATTAATATAAAACTGGAAGATTACTGGTGCATTTGATAATCTAAAAGATATAATAAGATACTTAAAACTTTCAAACTTTATATAAAACATGATCTTTCATTTATTCTCTTCTCTAATACTAATCTGGTGGTAGATATCATGTAGACCTACTTTAGAAAAGTAGTGTGCTTCTGCTAACCAGCTTAGCATCTTATTTATCAATAACAGAAAGTAACAGTTCTTTACTGTAACTGTATTAAAATTATAATAATTAATACAGAGTCTGAGTTCTCTGTTAATCTTGAGTGCAAACAATACTAAAGTCTCTGCTGAACTTTATAATGAATGTATCTAATTCTTATAGAGCTTGTTCTTAATATACTCTTGTAGAATCTCTGTCTGCTTGAGTGATAATTTATAGATTAATATGTATAAAGATTTGCAGCTATCTTTAAGAATAATCAGATAACTAATCTTTATTAATTCTAGTAATTCTGCTGTCTTTTCTTCTGAGAAAATATTTTTATAGTTTTTTAATTACTCAGGCACTTCTGTCAGAACTTAATTATTATCTGATACAAAAATAGTATAGAAGAGTTTATTCTTGATATATGTTACTTAAAGAAATTTATTTGTACTCAGAAGTTCTACTGTTTTCTTTAAAGATTAATAACATCATATCTTATTCTTCTAGTTAATATCTGGGTTGAAATCTTCCAACTATAGCATGTCTAGAACTATATTCACATTAATTATATTAATTACTGCAAACATTTGTCTTACTACTTTCATGATTCTCATGGAGTTTATTATAGTGAGTTGAGCCTTATAGATATTATATCAGTCAGTCTCAGCTCTGTTCAACATCTCAATAACTTCTATAGATACCTCCAGCTGATCCCAGTCCAATTGGGATGCCAGTTTATAGAAAATACTGTCCACTATAGTATCTGAGTCCAACAGTACAGCTTGTTCTGTAAAATTACCCAACAGTATAGTCAGTATAGTTAACAGGCACATACTATGCCTGCTTGCCTTCTCTAGTGAATTAATATCTTATCTTTTTAGTGTCTGATCTGATTCATGCATAAGCTTTATAGCTTTAGTCTTCATTCAGTTTTCATTCTTTTTATCTATCTGCTGGAACTTGTTAAAGCTGTTTAAACAAAACTTCACTTGATAATCTGATTAATCATATCTTAGATAGAGTCTCTTCTTCATTTATTATCTGTGTTTCTCTTCAGATATCTTTGAAAGTTGGTTTTACAGATGTTTTTTTAACTGTAAAAGTTTTTCTTCATTATTCTGTTAAAATACATCTCTTTCTTGAGAGATTAAGATTTTCTATTTCTTCTTATTCAGATTCTTGTTATTCTGTCTTTACTTCTTCTTTTCTAGAATAAACTTAATAAGAGTTACTTGTTTTTATAGTTTCACAACTGTCTTTAGTTAATGTTGTAACTTATCAAGTTCAGTAATGTACATGAAAAATGAAGATATTAATTAATCTTTCTGCTGAGTAGTATTATAATATTATTGCATTGTATCTTGACAGTGAGTTATCCTGAGTTTAATATTATTCTTACACCACATTTCAGTCTTCTTTTATTTCTAACATCTGTTAATGCATCTGGAGTTTATCATAAAAATAACTGGATGTTCAGTCAATTCTAACAGCATCTGTTACTTTTTATAGTGATTTTCTCAGATGAAAATGCTGTTTTATTGAGGCTAGTTATCTTTTATACTTGTCAAGCAATTTGCTATAATAATAAGATGCTTTTAAAGATTTCATATTCTTAAAGTTATCTAATTCCTTCATTAATTATATTTATAAGAAAAATTCTAAAGAAAAATCATCTCTTACTAATCTCTGTTTATGTTTAATCTGTTTCTGCAGTCTGCATATTTTATTTTATTTACATATTGTAGTGGGGATTCCAGTACCATATTAGGACAAAGGTTGTTCTGGTCTGAGGCACAAAACCCCCCCAGCTACTATCTCTGAGCTATATAAACTGCCTATAGCCCCTGCATCTCACTCAACATCTTCATGCACCTTTGTACTTTACTACACACTCACTTGTTCTTTATTATTAGTTTGGTTATTAGTTAGAGAATATGAAGATCTCTTGTTCATGAAGCTTGCCACTGTTTCTCATTAGAGCTGCCTGTATTAGTATGAGCTCTTTACTACTATTATTTCTTATAAGCTTAGGCATCTGTTAAGGTATGCTTCTCTGTTCTTACTACTTAACCATTACTATCCTTACTATGTTGTGATTTTTCACCTTTCTTGCACTCTCACCACATTAACTAACTTGCTTATCTTGATGAGGCATCTCATCATATTCTGCTTTATTTGGTGACCAAGCTGAGACCTGAAGATGATGATGCAGTGATTTGATGGCTGCCAAGAAAGAAAAACAAATTCTGAGACACATGAAGCAATACACTATTTCAAGATAAGATCTTATAGACTAGAAATACAGTACTAATCAGGTTTTTGTTAAGAAATAAGATTAGGACGCTTAGATTTGAATGACTCTTATCTAAAGCTTGCCTGATAAATAGGTTTTTTGAAAAGATATTGAATTATTGAGAAACAACAGAACATACTGTGTGACATGATTAAAGATCAAGAAATCAAGAAATCAGAATCAACTATAATTAAAGATACTACAGAATTGTACACAACTATATTACAGAGTGAGAACAGAAGAATTGTGGTTCACTCTCACATTTCTATGCCTTCCCCTGGTATGGCAAATGCATCTTGGTTTAACAGCAGAGATGCTATCTTGTTTGTTGAAAGGTTTTATCAAATGTGCAAGGATCATGAAGTAATTGATCCTAAGAACATTATTAAACAGTTGGCTAGGTACTGTGTTACATGAATTGGAGAATGGATGAAGACCTTAGAAGACTACAAGAAAGATAATTGGAAAGTATTCTTCAAAGAGATTATTTATGAATTTTGTGATCAAAACATTACTTACAAGATTTACTGTTAAAATTATCTTCAAGTAATTACAAAGAAACTGCATGCTTGAGATAGCAACATTTACATCTATATTCAAGAATACACTACTATTACAGTACAGTACAAGCCAATGGAAGACTTGATAAATTCACTAAGATGTCTTGATTTCTTCAGAGACTGCCTGAGAAGCTTCAGAATAAGATTATTAACAAGACAAAGCTCAATCTTTCAGATAATATGTTATCTATTGATTTTAAGAAGGTTGTTCAAGTGACCATAGATTTGATTGACCAGTATGAAGGCAATAGAAAGATCTTTAAAGAAGATGAAATGAAGTAGAAGAAAATAGAAAAGCTTGGTGAGCAATATTAATTAGCTAACAAATCTTCTACAGTTAAGGCTCTGAAGAAAACAGCTAGTTCTGTAAAGACTGAAGAATCTGAATTGAAATTCAAAGTCAAGAGCTCTGAGAGCACCAATATTAAAGCTGCAATTGAAAAGATGATTAACAAGTTTATAAATTTGATATTGGCCATGAGAGTACAGTCAAATCAGATACAAGAGAATTCTGATCAGTACTATATGCTGCAGAGAGAAGGGTCTCTGAAATTTATACCAAATTATATAATAAATGTGACTACTAATTCTGCAACAGTACAAGAGAACACCTAACTGCAATTAGTTAATTCTTATGTAGCTTAAAATGATTTGCTGATGACAAGCTATTGTTCTAGTGGTCAAGAAGAAGCTCAAACTAAAGGAATTTTGACATGTTTCTCATGCTTTTACTGTGGAAAATCTGGACACTGTCAATCTCAGTATTATGAATACCAATCTGATGTGAATAACAGGTACTGTCATATTAATAATAAAGAGAACTTATGCATGGATTCTTCTGGTTAAAACTATTAAGTTATTACTCCTAAATCTGGAATACTGAACATGTATATTGTACAGTCTATAGAAGAGAATAAATGAGTGATTCTGGAGTTAACAAGCTCTAAAAAAAAGATCAATCAGCAAGAAGAAATATCTTCAGCAAATTTAATCAGTGTGAAGGTTCAAGCAGGATTACTTGCATATCTAATATCTGATAGAAAATCTGATTCAGATAAGAAATATGAATCACTGGAAGAAAGAACATCAGTTAATGTTGAAACTATTGGAGAAGCTAAGAACAGTCAAAAAACTAAGATTGCAATACTCTATACTCAGCATACTGGACAATTTATTACCTATCAGAATAATCAAGCTAGTGTTAATGATTATATCATGAAAGATATTGAATCAATCAATCAGAAGAAGCCTGAAATTCAGAACAAGATTATGAAGAAACAAAGATCAAGATATTCTGCAACAGATCATTTATTTTCTCAGATCTGTAATTCAACAGATGCTAATAAATTAATGGGTTGAATTCTCAATGAGAAGGTTAAAGTGTCAGTCAAGAAGCTTATAGATGTATTGCTGAAGCTTTATTAAGTGTTCTTCAGATCAGGTTGAAATAACAGTACTAGTAAAAGCTATACAAAAATTGAAGTCTTCAAACCAGTTCAGTCTGAGCTAAAGATTAATTCCAGTCAACTTACATTAAAGCTTACAATACTAAAATCTAAAACAGCATATGAAATGCATTTGTTATATGCATCAGTTACTATAAATCAACAAGAATTAATAGCATTGATCAATACTGGTTCAGAAATCAATTTGTTGTTTCAGAAGTATACTGAAATGTTGAATCTGCCAATGAAAAATAAGCCACAAGTAATTATGATTGTTCAAATAAGAGAAGTTGCTTCTTTTTACATATTTTGTGACAAAGTGCCTGTTCAGATTGGAGATATTATTACCTATACTCTTTTTCTTATATTCAAGAGAGAGAATCAGCAACTTATTCTTGAAAGATCTTGGTAATTTGCTGTCTGTTGGGAATGCAACATCTCAGATGATGAAGAAGTGAACTGTGAAATTTATAATAAGAAACAAATACATTATCTAGTTTTTGAAGACTTTAAGCTAAACTCAAGCAACATAAGATATGCAACTGATAAATTAAACAGCAATCATTTAAACAATTTAACAGGTATTTAATCAGGCAGGTGCCCATGAATACAAGGCCTGATAAGAATAAAGAAAATGCAACAAAGATAATGGATATAAGAATTAATAATGAGAAGGTTGAAGGTCAGAAGATTGAAAAGAATAAAGAAGTCAGAAGCATTAGCAGCAGCACCAGTATTAGTAACTATAGTAATAAGAAGAAACATAGTTCCAGCAATAGTGAATTCAAAAGTGCACTAAGTCTAATCAGATTGACCAGTGTACTGGTGAATCAAATAAACTAATCAGAGAACAAGAATAATTTTGCATTAAGAGTTCAGATTTTCCATCCTCCACTTCCTGATCCAGACAGCATTACAGCTTACTGCAAACATTATACACATGATATTAATTCCAGCTTAATTCAAAAACCTATTTCATAAAGTACTTGATCAATTTACACATCTCTGAACAAAAATCACAATTTTATCACAAAGAAATTGTGTCAAGTTGACATTTTCAATAGTGGCTGGAACATCAGATTATCTTTTTCAGAAGTCTGGAGAGTGTGCACTGCTTATAAGTAGAAAGCTGATAAGATAAGATCATTAGCATCTGGAAAATCTGATGAAAGCAAATCAGAAGATCTAGATAATTGAGTAGATGTTTGTTTGAATAAGTATTATTCTGAGAAGAAATGTGTTGTGTTTAATTGTAAATTTGATGACCACATTAGATCTAGAATTGTGTTTTTTTCTGTTGGAGAACAGCTAACAAATGAGAGAATTGAGAAGCTCAAAATTGAATTTGAACTAACAAGTTAAGAGAAGAAATTTTTCATATCAGTTCTTTATAAATGTGAAGGGGTGCTGGTGTAATTATTCAAAGACTTATGTGACATTCATCCTGAATACTTGCCTCTGCAGATTATTAAAACAGAGTCTTATGAAGCTTGGCAGACTAAAACTTACTGAATTTCTTGTGCTCTACATAATAAGCTAATTAAAATCATTCAGAACAGGTTAGAAGCTAAAATATTAAAGTCTTGTTGTAATTCATATATCAACTTCTATTTTCTGGTTGCAAAGAAACAGAAAGGTAAATATTATTTAGTTAATACAGCACATATATACAATAAAGTTACTATTTGAGATGCTTTTATTTCTTCTAATGTTAATGAATATGATGAAAACTTTAGCAGACTTGTTATAGCTAGTCTATACAACTTGTTCTCTAAATACAATAATTTTCCATTAGTTAAAGAGAGCAGGAATATGACAGCCATTGCAACCTCTATTGAGCTCTTTCATCATACAACTTTAGTCCAAGAGGCAACAAATTCACCAGCTCAAGCTCAATGTAGAATAATGAAGATTATACAAGAAGTTTTTCCAGAGATTGCTTGAGCCTTTATAAATGATCTTGAAGTAAAAAAATTATATGTCAAAGATGAAACTACAGTTCTTTCAGAAATAAGAAGATTTGTTTATGATTATCTGCAGAACCTGAACTATATTCTATAGCTTGTCAAAATCTCTGGAGCTAGAATCTCCAGCACCAAATCTCAATTCTGCATGTCTGAAGTCAATGTTATTAGATGAATCTGCAACTATGACAGACAACAACCTGAGGAAGTCAAGATAGCTAAAATTGCAAATTGGCCTACTTCTACAAGCATTACAGAATTACAAGAATTTCTAGAGCTTGCTGGATATTTTCAAATACTTATAGAGCATTACAGTTGGATAATCAAATCTTTACATTATCTGCTTCAACAAAATATTATATAGTCATGAACTGAAGAGCAAAATGATATCTTTATACTTTTGAAAGAAAAGTTATGTTCATTTCCTATTGTTCTTTTAATTAATTATGGACAAGATTCTTTGCTTATTACTATGACTGTTGATGCTAGTAGATTAGAATGGGGAGAATGTATTATTCAGAAGCAACAAGGAGCTCAACATTCTGCATAATACAAATTCAGAACATGGAATGATTCAGAGAAAACATATGATGCTGGCAAACAAGAATGCAGAGCTGTTTTGAAAGTCTTCAAGAAATTCTAATACTATATTTATGGAGTACCCTTTATCTTGAAAATCAATGCAAAAACTCTTGTCACCTAACTTAATAGGACTGCTACAGATGTTCCAGAAGCTTTAATTACTAATTGAATAGCTTGAATACATCTCTTTAACTTTACTGTTAAACATGTTCCTGGAACAAAACACATAGCTGCTGATGAACTATCTCACCAAGAACTAGGTACTAGAGAACAACCTGAATCTGAAGAAGATGAAGATCTGTTTACCTTTATAAATTCTATAAGAGTTTTAGCTGGCTGAGCTCTTGATAGTGAAGATCTTAGAATACTGGACTTCACATATTCAGAAGAATCAGAGAAAATTGCACAATATCTAACCACCCTATCAAAATCATTAGACATGGAAGGAAAAGAGTATACAAGATTTCAAAAGAAAGCAATTAAATATGTGGTGGAGGCTGATTAACTATTTAGGCAAGCAGGATCTGGTGTGTCTCTAAGATGTGTTGTGAATAACAAAGAATAACATAAACAAATTTTACACATAATGCATGATGAATTTGATTATAAAGAGTGAGAAGGAATATACTCTATCTTACAAGCTTGATACTGGTGGTCAGAAATGTATAAAGACATGTCTGCTTATATGAAGCACTGTTCTCAATATCAACAAAGAGATTTATAAAGATTAAGTGAAGAGCTTCATTCTATCTGGACTTCTATCTATTAAAAGAAAGTTAGAGTGAATATCAAACACATGCCTTCCTGTCAAGAACAAAATTATTTGGTTATTGCAAGATGTAACTTTACTGAATAGATGAAAGCTAGAGTATTGAAGAAGGCAACAGCTTAAGCTGTGGCCAAATTTCTTTATAAGAATATCATCTGTTGATGGGGCCTGCCTGCCAAATTTGTTATGGATGGAGAACCAGAAAATAAGAATGTTGTGAAGACCTTACTGAAGAAATTCAACATTAAATATATTATTATTTCACCCTATAATTCTCCTGCAAATGATATGGTGGAAGTTGGTTATAAGTCTTTGGCTGATGGATTAGCTAAAGCTACCAATGATACTGAAAGAAATTGAATTAAACATCTTTCTGTAATTCTGATGGTGAATTAAATGATGACTAAGGCTAGTACTGGTGTCTTCTCTTATAGATTGCTAATGGGCCAGAAGACAGTTCTTCTGGTTGAACTCAAGATTCTCACTTGGCAAACAATTTCATGATGAAATGTTTAAATAACTGAAGACCTTCTTCTGATGCATGCATGTCAAATTGAACAACAAGATGAGAATGTTCTGGAAGCAGCACATTATCAGCTCTGAATATGTACTAAGAATAAGAAATACTTTAATGATACCTATAATATTTAGATCAACTCTCTTCAACCTGGAGATCTTGTCTTGCTTCACAATATTAAAGAAGAACAGAATATGTCTAGAAACAACATCCTGTACTTTTGATAACTAGAACTCTATAGAGTTAAGTCTGCTAATCAAGAACTAGGTTCCTATCATCTTGAAGAGTTAGATGGTACTGAAATCAAAGAATCTATTGCAGAAAGCAGATTAAAGAAGTATCTTATAAGATCTGGAATGAAGCAGTTCAGTAATAGCTCAGCAGATTCAGATAAAGAGATGGAGAATATTTCTCAAAGATATGCCACAAGAAGCCAGCCTAATCTTCTCTCTAGCAGTTCCTCAGATGTTAGCTTCTTGAATAGGGGGGAGGATGACCAAAATCAGAGTAAAAGCAAAAATGAAAATGACTGAGAAGAAATAGAGCAAACACAATTATCAACTGTTATACCAGATGACTGAAGTTTTGCTGTTGTTATACCTTCACAAAATGTTTAATTTATTGTGTTTTGTTTGCAAAAGTGAAGTTTTTGCTTGCTTTTTTGAGAGATTTCTTCTATTTGTCTGCAGAGTGAAGTTTTTGCTTGCTTATTTAGAAAGTTTCTCTTTCTTTGTTATTTACAGAAGCCTTCACTTTTTCTGAATTTTTCAGAAAATATTTAAAGACTCATTTTTCTTTTCTGAAGCTTTACTATCTTTTACATTCAAGCTTGATTCTTTTTGCAGATTCAACATTTTCAACACTTCTTCTTGCCTTTTATTTTGTTATTCTGACATTTGCAATTCTTTTTAGATTACTGATATTCTTCAAAATGGCTGGACAAAGCAACTTGCCTCCTCTAGCCCCTGCATCTGAAAACCAAGGCCTGGTTATTACCAGAGACAGTGGAGTTAATCTGGATGGCTATTTCTTCAATAATCTAACAGCAGCTATAGAATACATTGATAATCAAGCTCTGCACCATTACTACAGCCTACAGATCAAGCTAATGAATGCACTGATGCAAGTAACTGACATGGTTACTGACTTAGTGGCCTATTTCTATTGATATATCAAAAGATTCAGAGCTTGACAACATGTTACATACACTAATTTTAAAGCTGATTTCCATGATACTTAAAAGGTTACTCTGGATGTCAAACAACATTATATTGATATGCAAAAGATCAAGAATAGACTTGTCACTATATAGAGTATTGACAGAATTGATGCTATATAGTCAAAAGTAAAGAGTCTGTAGATAGCACAAAAGCTTCATTATACTCTAAATATCTACAAGAATTGGGATAAGTTCACTAATAATATTAACAGCACAGTGCTCCAAAGACTAGATGCTACAGAAGCTGGACATTGCTAAAGCTTAGCTATATTGCCAGACAATTATACAACAGCTGACAAAGAAGTCAATCACATATACAAACTTTCTTCAAGAGATGCTCTATGCTAGCAAGATTTTATTATTAGTAACTACAGTCTTCTACAGCCATTGACTCTTTTACAGTCATCTAGCTCCTAATATTTAATTCAGAATATCACTAGAAGTTCTTCCACTGCAAGCAGCTTCTAAGATCTACTAGAAGAACTACAGTTTTCAAGATCATCAAGAGATATTTCAATAAGTGGAATATCTATACTACATAGCTGTAATGTGTCAGGAGCCTCTATATATAGCATGATGTTAATTAGATTGCATGGATTTGAAACTGGCCAATTACAGCTATCATTTAAATTCACCAGCATGCTGGCCAATTTATCCAGCTAATCAGAAGCTTCAAAGCATTACAGTAAAAGAATTGCAGTCATATTAGTACATTAAACTCTTCAAGACTTAGATAATATTGACAAGTTCATTATTTCTTCTGAAAGTAATGAAGAGATACCTCAACACAAGCATGAAGAATCTGTAATGGCAGTACACTCTGGTACTTGCTATTACCATGAATTTGAACAGCAACTCCTGCAAAAGATAAAGAGTATTAAAATGTGTTCAGAATTGAAGGTTATTCACATCCTGAAGCAATTAGAAAAGACATTTAGTGATAAGAAAGCTGATATCTATCTATACTATAACTATGCAAAACTAATAGCTTCAAAACTTGGATTGCAAACTTGCACACTTAATAGAGAGGAGCTTCTCAACTGTTTGGCTCACATTTATAGGAATCATCACAACATTAACTCAGTCAAGACCAATAACAGCATCTACCTCTGGTTCCATTTGGCAAATAAACTGGCTAGAGCTGAAGATGCTTTAGACATTTACAAATTCAAACATCAGCCAATTATCTCTCTGGTTGCAAACATGAGAATATTCAACTTTAACTGATACATACAGATCACTGAAGTTAACAAGTTCATCACCAGCAATCTTTAGAAGAAATGAGAGACTACTGAATCTGTTGTTATTCTCCAGCTAATATGCTAGTGGAACAATAAGTTACAAGGTATCACCACCACAGTACTCACTTGAGTCAATGGTGAATATAATATGTACTACCATTATCAGCAAATAATGGAAGGTCACAATAATTATAGATGGTTGAGAACAATGTACCACAGTATTAGCTAACAACTCATGTGCCAGGACTCTGCATACTATCTATAATACATGCTGACAAGATCTGACTGCACTTGAAAATTAATCTCCTATCCATATTACATCAAGTATGCTAAGCCAGAAGATAAAAACTGGATTTCACCATATTAATATTAATGTTCCAGATGCTATTACTACTGGAAGGGGTGTTAACATGATACAAGAATTCTTGATCTTAATGACAGAAGAGTTCAGCAACTGCACAGAAATCTTGCCAGAAATACATAACTATCTAGAGAATTAATAGAAACTAGTTGAAGAACAAGGCTTATCTACTGATGGCTATATTCACTACATTAAGAATACAATGTATATCAAAGATGATGAAAGAAAATTTGGTATTAGATGGACTAACATTATTTGCAAATCTGGTGATGTTCAAATTACAAGCTCTCTGCTGCCTCATGAAGCTTACAGTCTATGCAAAAAGATCCAGTATACTATACTACTCTGATATGTGGCAATCCAGAAGAACCATGAACATCTTGAAGTTAATAAAGCTGGTATCTGGTTACAGCTCTCCACCATATATAGAAATCTAGTTCCAGGGCCATCATCACCTTTCAGCTATTCAAACCATTACACATCAGTTCTATATTAATTCTCTACTGCTATTCAATTGCAAGGCTTAGGAGCTATATTAGATGTCTTGATAGACCAAATTAGGTGAAACAATCTTATAGTGATTGAGGAGCTCAATATCCTCTTTAGACCAGAAGAGAAGAAGGCTCAGAACTTCATTAATAACTGGCATCTAAAGACCACACAAATTGCTTTGGATGCCATTGTCAAGATATACTAAATTGAAAAGAAAGCTTTTGGTAACAAATTCTATTGGCATTGCATGCACAATAATATTAATCTAGTGTCAGTTCAGCCTTCTTCTTCTCTCAAGAACTTGATGAAAGAAGAGAATCATGATAATCACTATTAAAAATTGCTGCTGTTACTCTCTTTATTCTTATTTTCTATCTCTTTTCTTACCAGATTGTTACTAATTCTTATCCTCTTATTTTCTTTACTAAATTGTCTTTGTTTTGTTTCATATGTTGCTTGTTGTCAGGGGACACCAACATTAAAAGCCAGGAGGAAATGTAGTGGGGATTCCAGTACCATATTAGGACAAAGATTGTTCCAGTCCAAGGTGCAAAACTCCTCCAGCTACTATTTCTGAGCTATATAAATCACCTATAGCTTCTGCATCTTGCTCAACACCTTCATGCATCTTTGTACTTTACTACACACTCACTTGTTCTTTATTATTAGTTTGGTTATTAATTAGAGAATATGAAGATCTCTTGTTCATAAAACTTGTTACTGTTTCTTATTAGAGCTGCCTGTATTAGTATGGGCTCCTTACTACTATTATTTCTTATGAGCTTAGGCATCTGTTAAGGCATGCTTCTCTGTTCTTACTACTTGACCATTACTATTCTTACTATGTTGTGATTTTTCACCTTTCTTGCACTCTCACCACATCAACCAACTCACCTATCTTGATGAGGCATCCCATCATACTCTGCTTCAATATGTCTGCTAGATTCTTTTGCAAATGTGTCTTCTTTTCTTTAAGAGTTTCTTCTCTTTGAGTTTCATCTGAAACATTAAGAGGTGCATTTCTGTTGTTCATATTATTTGCTGATATCTTGCTGATAATAGCTTCACTACTACCAGCACTTTTATTAATGTTCATTTCATTTATATTGATCTCTATCTTTATTAGGTCTGCAACATAAAGTGTTGTTGTGGCTTATCTCATAAGTCTTGATGGTATTGTACTAATTTAGGCAATTCTACGTTGGAGTGTTCAGAATATTAGAAGAAGACCTGATATAGACTTTGTAGATTATTCTAGATTTGGGGTACAAAAGAACTAAATAGGTGTGAGGCTTACAACTAATGAGAGAGAGTCATGTGTAACATATAGATCTGCTAACTAGAAGACTGAACACTAAGATTCTCACAATTCATGAGAATCATGTGATTCTTATATGTTCAGAGATATGGCCATGTGGTGTCCTAAACATCCAATATTATCTAATGCAAGATTGGTCTAGACCTACATTCATAACAATTTCAAACTTATGTTATAATATAAGTAATTATTCTTCTTCTATTTCCAACATCTGTTAGTATATCTGAGATTTGTTACAAAAATAGCTGAATGCTTAGTTAATTTAGACAGTATTTATTACTCTGTATAGTGATTTTCTCAGATGAAAGTGCTGTTTTATCAAGACTAGTTATATTTTATATTTGCTGAGTAATTTGCTGTAGTAATAAGATGCTTTTGAAAGCTTTATATTCTTAAAGTTATCTGATTTCTCTATTAGTTGTGTCTGCAAGAGAAATTCTGAAGAAAAATTATTGTTTGTCAATCTCTGTTTATATTTGATCTGTTTTTACAGTCTGTATATTTTATTTTGTTCACATATATCTGCTAGATTCTTTTGCAGGTGTGTCTTCTTTTCTTTAAGAATCTCTTCTCTTCAGATTTTATCTGAAGTATTAAAGAATGCATCTTTATTATCTGCATTATTTACTGATATTTTACTGGTAATACCTCTACTGCTACCAGCATCTTTATTAATATTTATTTTCTTTACATTAGTGTTCATCTCTGTCAGGTCTGTAATATAAAATGTTATTGTAGTTTATCTTGTAGATCTTGGTGACATTATACTGACTCAGATAATTGTATGTTGAAAAGTGTCCAGAATGTTAGAGAAGCTTGACATAGATCTTGTAAATTGTTTCAGAATTAAAATATAAAAAAGCTAAGTAGATCTGATGCTTATAACTGGTGAAAGAAAGTTATGCATAGAATATATAGATCTGGTAATTAGAAGACTGAATGCTGGAATTTTCACAATTTATGTAAATCATATGATTCTTATATATTCAGAGTTATGAGCCATGTGATATTCTCTGAACATCTGATATCATGTAATGCTTGATTGGTCTAGATCTATGTTCATAACACTTTGTGCCAGCATTAAATCAGCTTTATTAACTTGATACTCTTGGTATAGCTGAGCCAAATTGATCTCTGCAAATTCTGACCAATCTTTACTAAATACTAGTATGTTTTATACTGTTTGGTAGCTGAGAAATCAGAATCAATTAGTGAAAAATAACTTTTCAAATGTTAGAGAAGCTTAATGTAGGTCTCATAAGTTGTTCCAGAATTGAAGTACAAAAGAGTATTACAAATATAGATCTAGATCAACCCAGCATCAGATCACATCAGATGTTCAGGAAACATTATATAGTTATATCTCTGAATATATAAGAATTGCACAATTTTTACAGGTTATAGAAATCTCAGTATTCAGTTTTCTAATTAGTGAATCTATATGTTTTACACATGACTCCCTTTTATTAGGTGTAGATATTATATCTATTTAGCTCTTTTAAAAAATGATTAGTCTTAATAAAACAGCATTTTTATCTGAGAAAATCACTATATAAAGCAATAAATGCTATCAGAATTAATTAGATGTTTAGTTATTTTCATGACAAATCTTAGATACATTAGCAGATGTTAAAAATAGAAGAAGAAAAAAGACTTATATTATAAAATGAGTTTGAAACATAATATAAGAATAATATTGAACTCAAGATCAATTGCTGTTAAGATACAATACAGTAATATTATAATACTACTCAATAGAAAGACTAATCAATATCTTTATTTTTTATATATATTACTGAACTTGAATAAGATCTGAATAATCACTAAATGAATTTTTCTGTATACTCTTTTTACAGACAAAGCTTAAATTAATTATCTGAGCTGAACTTGATAAATTACAATACTAATTAAAAATAGTTACAGAATTACAAGAGCAAGCAACTCTTATTAAGTTTATTCTAGACAAGAAGAAGCAAAGTCAGAATAATAAGAACTTAAATAAGAACAAACGAAAAAACTCAATCTTTTAAAGAAAAGATGTGTTCTAACAAAATAATAAAGAAAAACTCTTACAGTTAAAGAAGATACCTCCAAAACCACTTTTAAAGATATCTGAAGAGAAATATAAATAACAAATAGAGAAAAGTCTCTGTTTAAGATGTGATTAATCAGACTATAGAGTGAAGTTTTGTTCAAACAGCTTTAACAAGTTCTAGTAAACAGATAAAAAGAATGAAATCCAGATAAAGACTAGAGTCATAAAGCTCATGCATCAATCAGATCAAATACTAGAAAGATGAAGAATAAATTCACTAGAGAAGACAAGCAGGCACAGTATATATCTGTTAATCATACTAACTATACTGTCAGATACTTTTACAAAACAAGCTGCACTATTAAACTTAAATACTATAGTGAACAGCATTTTCTACAAAATGATGTCTCAATTGAACTAGAATCAGCCAGAGACACTTATAGAAGTTATTAAAATATTGAATAAAGCTGAGACTGACTGGTATAATATCTACAAGACCTAACTTACTATAATAAACTTTATAAGAATTATAAAAATAGTAAGATAAACATTTACAGTAATTAATATGATTAATGTAAATATAGTTTTAGATATATTATGATTAAAAGACTTTAATCCAGATATTTACTGAAAGAACAAAATATGATATTATTAATTTTCAGAAAAAATAGTAAAACTTCTAAGTGCAGATAAATTTTTCTGAATAATATATATTAAGAACAAACTCTTTTATATTATTTTTATGTCAGATAATAATCAAGTTCTGACAGAAATGCCTGA